GATAGCCGTGTTAAAATATAGGGATTTTATGGCTGATGTTTTCTTACTTTATTTCCTAACTTCTCAGAAAATTGTTACTTTTTGTTTCAATATTCAAATTTGCATCTAAAGTTGTTTAATGTTATAATCAGGGCTTATGTTTACTGATATGTACCCAGCAGAATCCCATTTATAATGCCTATTTATTACTCACCACCACTCCAGACTGAAGTTTTTCTATTAATTCCTCAATGTTCAATCCAGGAACTCTATCTTTCAAAAGTGGAGGAGTAAAACATTTTACTGATGTTGGAAAACTGTGATTTAATAATTGCAAAGGCATTCTTCTGGGCATATGTTCTGTTTCCTGCTGTCTATAGGCATTGTTTGCTGCTATACTTTCTCCAAGTCTAGATGAGAAGCAAAAAGAAAATGAAATAACTACATGAAAATAGAGCAAAAGTCAGAGTTAGTACAGAATCAGGGAATCTTTTAGAATGATTCTTTTTGGGAATAAGTCTTCAAATATTTTTGAAATAATCTTGGAGTCTATGACGAAGTAGGATTTTGGGAAATGTCCTAAATTTGCTAAAGGAAACTCTTTTCTACTTATAACTCTTCATAGTGACAACACTTGCTTCTTAATGTTTAGAGGCACTAAAACTAGTTTGTGAGTGTGGATTATTTGTAAAAATTAAAGAAAATGTTAATGTTACGATAAGAACATTTTTCTTACCATGGGCAACATCACCTGGCCTTTACCTCTGTCCTTCACCCTTCCCCTTTCTCATTCAGTATATTCTCACCAATCTGATTTCCATTCTGTCTCTTCCGTTTATCCCATATTATTCCTGTCTCAGGGCCTTTGTATAAGCTGTTACTTTACCTAGAACACTTTCTCACCAGATCTGCATAGTGTTGGCTCCTTCTTATTATCAGGTCTCAGTTTAAACTCACTTCCTCAGAGAAGTCCTCCACCCATAATGATGTGTATGTTATAAAGCTTATTTCTTTTAACTTGCTCCCAACTAGAATGTAAATAAACCTCATGACAGAAGGCTCTCTAATTCACTGTAATATTCAAAAATGCCTAGAAGAGAGCCTGGCACATAGGAAGCCCTCACCAGATGTTTGTTAAATGTTTAAATAAAATACGCGCGCGCACACACACACACACACACACACACACACACACACACACACACACCTACCTATATCCACTCATCCATCTACCCAGCATATAATTTCACCTTATTAAACTAAGATAATGTAAAGAAAGGCATAAATAGATATAAACGGACACCTGAGATAGTGTCCAAAGAGAAAATTATACAACACAAGACAGATGACCAAGACACAGTACACTGGGAAGGCCTTGCATTCAAAGACAGAAAGGAGATGTGACTCTCACTTTCAGTAAAGTCGAAGATTTGCTTCATGTCAGAGTACCACAGCTGAAGCAAGCAGGCCACCACAAAATGAAGCAGCTTTACAGACCATTTCTATCTTGTGACTTGAGAAGCTCCCTATTTGTCCATTTATTTCTTAAAAAATATTTATTAAAAAAAGTGAAAGGAATTTTGATTATATATTCTCTTATGTCTTATTTTCCATAGTTCTTTACCTCTTAATTTATGACTACTTAAAATACTAATTCTGACAAATGAGTTAGCTAAGTTAGTTAATAGAAGTAGCAGAGGTTAGCAAGCTTTTCCTTAAAGGACAAAGTAGTTAAGTATTTTAGGCTTGAGTGTATATAGTTTGTTACAACTTCCTAATCCTGATTCAAAGCATAAATGTAGGCACAGACAATATGGAAATGAATGGATGTTGCCCTATCCCAATAAAACTTTATCTATAAAAACAGACTCCCATCTGCTGGCTATGGTTTGCTGACCCTGGCATGTAGAAATGTCTTATCTATTTACCACTGCTTCAGTTTATTCAAACTACTTTTGCAAATATATTTATATAATCTACTTAAACCTTTAAAAATTAAAGTAGAATCCTACTAAACATTTTGTCAATCATTTAGTTTATAGACAGCTCTGAAAATCTAATTTTTTTCAAACATAATTGCAAATATTCTTTTAATGTTTAAAATTAATGAATATAGTGGATAATTTTGCCTGGCCATTATCTATTCCTTCTGATAAAAGAGAATTTTTCTTTAAGAACTTGCCTTACCCACCTGCCCCCAACTCCCAACTTCCAGTTCATGTAGTTCTCATAGGTGAACCCTTAGCATCTGCCAAGGAGGGGACCTTGGCAAATGATCTAGATCTGATCAATGACAGTCATCCTTAGACTTACCAGTTAAACAATTGGGAAGGAAAAGCTCTTTCTAGGGAGGAACTAAATTGGTATGATGTCCAGAAGTAGCTTAGTCCAGAAGCTTCTTCATGAAAAGAGGCAGTGAGAGACTGTGATTCACCTAGATAGTATTTAACCATCTAGATCTAGCTCTTCCCTAAGTATACACCTGATCTTTTCAGTTGGAATCAAATTTTTTTAACCATTTGAAAAATTACTATTACGACAAAGACTTTGATTCACTAACTTTTTAATCTATCTACATTGAGGCCTGCTAAAGAAACACAGCAGAATATTCCAGCATTATAAGAGATACACTGCAAATGATTAGAACTCACACTAAGGCAGGAAAATCTGGCAGTGGAGCAGCTTCCAATAATAGTCCCAATCCAGACTGTACTTGTTCTCTATTATCTGATGTTAAAGCAAAAGCCAAGGGAGTAATCAGGCGTGGATCCTAAGCAAATCAGAAACCAGAAAATGAGAGGCAGAAAATATACATAATGTCAGGTCTTTTAGTCAAATTCTAGACAAATTCTAAAGTGTTTCTATCTGCTTTTGGACATATTTATTACTTTACCTTGTTATAATTATCTTAGCAATCAACATGAACACCAGGTTAAAAATCTGGCAAAGGTTTTGAATGCTTTTGACTGTACCTATAAAAATCAGGTCTTAAATATTTTGATGAATTTAAAATATTATCCACAACTGACTCATATTTTATTTTTCTAGCTACCATTTAAAAGAAAAACTGGCTAATCATTTCCAAGTTAATCAAACAATAAAAGTAAAATTCAAATTAACTTAATAGAAATTAAAAGTAAAATTTAAATTAACTTAATAAAAATTTTAATTTAGTGACTGAAACAATTATACTTAAAGTATAAGTCTTTCATGTCAATAAATATTTTACATTCGTACTGTAAGCCCCAAATCATCTATTCTGAAAAACATTTAAGAACTGACATAAAATCAGTTTGATTCAATTTTTACGTTGAGTAAGTTAACAGAGATAAATATTAAAACATGAATCCTTTATAACTATCAACAACGTTAAGTGTCTTGTAGATAGTTAAGTATAATCTACTGCCACAGAACCATGATAAGAGCTGGGCTTTACCTTCATAACTCCAGTGGTAACTCTTCATAACTCCTTCTATATAGGGGGATCATTATTTCTACTCCACACTCAGGAACTAAGAGCTCAGAGAGGTGAAATAACTTACTCAAGTCTGCTCTAATAAGTAGTGGAGTCAACACCTGAACCCCATCGCTTAAGCATCACGTTCTCAAAGTGTACAAGTGTTCCAGCCAAAGGTTTCAGTTTTGGCTTCTACCCTGTCTATACAGGCACAAGTCATCTTTGTTATTACAGTAACTTAATTCACAAATGTTTGCTAAGTATCTATTATAAACCAGGTTTTGTGACTATCAAGGTAAGCATCTAGAGCTCTCATTCAGCTTCTATCAATGAAATTTGTCTGTTATTTTCTACATGAACTGTCTAATCTTATTGTCATTCATAACCAAGCCCTTTTCTTCCAGATGTCTCCCTATCCTCTAAAAATCCCTACATCATCAACTCCAACCAAAAACAAAACCCCCAAAATAAGTACTACTCTTCCCACCACTGAAATGTCAATAGAAATAAATGAAGAAAACTGAAGTAGGACACAAAAAAGGAAAGCACCACTATCATCAACATTCTGTATATAAGAACTTGAGGCACTTATGATCAATTTCTACAAAACTATGTGAAATAACTGTGTAGTAAGAATATTATAGCTACATAAGACCATTGACAACTTTAAACTTTCTTCTGAATACACTAAGAAAATCATCTTCAAAAAATTAAAAATATTAAAACAGAAACCTAAATTGGGAAGCAAGCTTCACTATCTGAAGAGTTTAAACTCACCTGAAGGATTTTGTAGAAGCTTACTTCCATACCAGGAACTGATTGTTTAAGTTTGTTCATCAAATCAAGAGTTTTCAAAATTACATCAGCAGCAAGTTTGCTTTAAAAAGAAGTCATATTTAAATTAGATAATTCAAAAATTGCTTAGACCTTATTTCTGTCCAATATGCTAAAGAAAATGAAAAACCAATATTTTTGTTTTTAAACCTCAAGAAGATAAAAGTATTATTTCTTTTGAGAAGGAAAAATATCAAAGATATTTTTATCTGATATTTTTAACCCAAGATCCAAAAAGAATAAACAGGCATTAATAGTCTAAGTTTAGACAGCCTTTTTCTGTTCACAAATACCACGCTTCTACTTTTTGCTTCAAATTACTAGCAGCACTGACTTGATGACCTATTTCTTATCTTTTTCGTTGGAGTATCAACAAGAGAGGGCAAACTTAAGCAATAAAAAATACCTAATATTTACTGAATGAATTATATTAAGCTATGTTCTCAGCTATGTACCTAAAAGGGAGTACAAAAAAGTAAACAAAGATAATCCTGGTTACTGAGGTGTACAATTACTGACAATTATTATATTTATGGAAATTGGAACAAATCAGTGTTAAGCATTGAGAAGGTTCTTATAAAGAATTGTTAGATGGACTTATTTCATGTGGGAAGAAGGGGATAAAATGATCTCATTATTATGAGTGAAAATCTACCTTTAACCTTAAGTCTTGACATGCTAAGGTAGAAGAGTTGGCTTTATTAGGAAACTTTCAGTAGTGACCAAAATCCTTGTCATAAAAACTACTGGTTTTCTCATGTTTTGCTTAAAAATATTAAATTAAATGAATATAAAAATAATTACTGAGTTCAGAAGTATAAAAGAAACTTACACAATCACAATAAAAACCAACCAAATTTAAACAAAAAGCAAATTGCAGATGTTAATATCTTCAGAAACACATGATCTATGAATTAACTAAAAATTCATCATGAAAATGTTTTTAATTCTCTGCTACACTTTGAATATATATAAGAATGAGCTCCTAAAAGGGATGAGAATCACTACATCTTTTGATTTTTATTAAGTTTGGGCTTACCATTTTGCAAGTTGAACTCTATATACTTACCACAATTCAGAATCTGCTACCTTTGTTCCAAACCCCAGATCGATCTTGCCATATGTAAACTGTTGTTCTATCAGAGTGGTACATTTGATAGTAGTCAGAATTTTTGCAACATGCATTTTTAGAGTATCATCTCCACATAGAGGTAAGTTTTGTTAAGGGACACAATAAAAAAAAAAATTCTAAAAAAACCCTAGATTTGTATAGCACTTTATAGCATTTAGGATATTTCGATACAAAGTATCACTTCAATTCAGTGTAATTTTTGTTACATTAGCTCAATGGCAAATTAGGAAACTAGAGCTCAGAGCATATAAGTGACTGGTAAGTGGCAAGAGATGTGACTGACACCAAAAGTTTCTTAGTCAAAGGTAAAAGAGAATCTGTTTCTCTGCTTTTTTTTGTTGTTGTTGTTAGCAGGTATCACAATGGTTCAATAAATATTTGTTGAACTAAAGGAAGTTATTTTCTCATATTCGTATATTGTTATTTTGAATATCTATCGTTAAAAAAGAGTCAAGTTTGGTACCATTCAATGATAGAAGGGCTGGATATCTGACAGATATCTCTAAGGTCAAGCAAAGTAATCATGTGACTCTATAACAATGGTTTTCATTGTCGGCTGCATGTTAGAATTACCTGGCTAGTTAAAACAAACAATAACAAATATTCTTCCCTGCTAGGGTTTCACATTAATATAATTAGAATATCTGGAAGTAAAGTTTAGGTGTCAGTATATTTTTAAAAGTGTTCTCCAGATGATTGTAATACATAACTAAGGTTGAGAGTCACCACTGTAAAGAGAAGAAAAATTAAGCAGCAGCAGTTAAAGAGAAAATTAAACAGATATGGAGTGCTCTAAGGCAGGACAAAGTAGAGCAAATTCTTGTTGCTCCGAGATACAAAGAAACTAGACCAGGTAAATGTAAGGTATCTGGATGAAATATAGTTGTTCCTTGTTGATAAAAAAGCATTAAGGATATATTTAAAAACTGGGTTTTAGACTTCTAAGTAACTTAGAATCATCTAAAAAAAAAAGCTAACAGGGAAAGACCTAAGAAAATCATTATATAGAAGGTAAGCAGTGACACTAATTACACTCAAGGTTTTCTTTTTTGGAATGAATTAATTTGTCTTGATAATATTTGTCCTTCTAGTAATCAAGTGTACAGTCATCTTTATTAAAACACTTATGGAGGTCTTAATTTTTAAAACACAAACTAAAAAACTGAGTTAAAATAATGACATCTCTACCAATATTTCTTTATTCTCTGATACAGTCCACCAAAGATGGCACCACAAATTAGCCATTAGCACTAGAAGAGAGTAATGGTGGTTACTTTACAACATATTGCCTAATCTCAAATTGTGATAAAAATATCCAAATCAAGTTTTGAAACCATTTCTGAAAATGTTCTTTAAAAGCTTAAAAGTTCTTCACAGAAAAACAAGGAAAAAAGTCTGAATAACTTTTATGAGAACTCTTCATTGAGAATTAATTCTATAGTTTAAACTTCAGTTCAATAATTCTGAATAGATAGAAGCATGAGAAGTGATACAAATAAAGACAAAAATGTAGTAAATATAATGCTAGAAAAAAAAGAGTAATAGTTATTTAGTTTCCATGTTTCATAACAGTAAGGATATTTAACAAAACTTCAACAGCCTTGACCATCCTTTCACACTTTTTTCTTACTAAGGCGTCATCTAACTTTTGCTCTGTGAACTGAAGCTGATCAAGGACTGCAGGCAGCAGAAGGGTCACAAAACGGTCAGCTGAAGAACTGTTAGCAGTATCTATGACATCCTGGAGTATTAACCATCACCAATCATTAAAAACAAACAAAGAAAAAATTAAGATGGAATACAGAATGCAGAAATAGTCATCACTGAGCTGTAACAGTCTATTTAAATCTTTTATAATTACTTTAATAGTTCATTGACTTGTGTGTCCTATTTAAAATCTACCCTTTTATCCAGTTTTGTGGGTTATGGTGACTTTTTTTTCTCAAATGGAATAAGGTTTTGAGTTAATCAACTGCAAATAAGACTTTTAAAAATAGACTATATTTGTGATTTAAAAATTATTCTAAATTAAAAGTGTGTACTGAAAACAAATATCCTGAATTTTCTAAATGTAATTACAATAATTAAATAATAGACACTAGTCTTAATACTTTACAGCCACAAATAATTCCCATCTAGAATCTGAAAGGGCTTTTAAATGCTAAAACTGTTTAACAGTCAAGACCAACGTAAAACAGGAAAAATAACATGCATAATCCTTAACAAAATATATTTAATTACTCATACACATTTTTGTTTGTGCATAAAATCCAGTTAGGAGAACAAACATTCTAGGAAGATATTGGTGTAGGCAGAATGGGTACCAAAAACAAGTAGAGTAGTAGACAATGCTAAATCTACTAGAATGAAATGTCCTCTATGGAAAAATTTTTGTCTGTATTCTAAGTGCCTAGAAGTGGCCAGCATGCTCCACTCCATTTCACTGACTGAATCTAACGTTTCTCTATTTATTCACTCAACAGGCTAATAAAGGTAGCAGGCAGTATCTACTGAGATAGAGGAACAGAATATGACTACTTTAGTAAATATAGTTATACAACAACAAAACATACATATCATAAACCTTTACTTATTACACTGAAAGGAGTATATATAAGTTATTTAGCGAAAAAAGGAAAACACTAATATTTGTGACTTTGCCAGAAAAAAGAAATTTAGTAGCTGAATGGTAGGGAGTCTAGTAATTGAGTTTTCCTAACGTGTCTGAACAATAGGAAGTTTATTATGAATATTTTTTAAAACAAACTGTTCATCGAGCATCATAAAAGTGGAAGTCAAATTGTCAAATATTACCTCAAATATTTCCTTGAACAATTCTAAAGCTAAAATAGAACAGTTTTCTGATCCATCCAAAGGCTGGCTTGACCAACGAAGGAGAGCCACAGTAGGCTCTAAACATTTAGAACGGCTTCCCAGAATGGTGTTGCCAGATGGAATCTGTTCAAATATCATCTGAGTGAGCACATGGCGCAGCTGAGTCACTGAACAGAAGGCAAGAAGTAATTCTAAAACCTGTGCAATATAAAGTCTTCATTAAATGTCAATTTCATTGGACCTTAATACACAAAGCAAACAAATGATGAAGATGAAAATGACATACATTTTTAAAGAAAATACTCTAAAACAAAAGTTAAAACTAGTTTCCAATTTTTCTTTCAGGATTATTTTTGAAAATGTGTGAATATATTTCAGAACGTTTCAAAGAAATTTGTTAATAGTGGTTACTCCAGATAAACAGGACTGTGAGAGCCAAAGGAAGGGCAACTTCAACTAACATTATATGCCTTCTACAGTACTTAAAAATTTTTAAAGCATAAACATACTTTGTTTTTAAAATGAAAAAAAAAAAAGAAATAAAATTAGTAATTAACACTTGCTATCATAAGATTCAAAAATGTCTATAAAGCGCACTTTAGGAAATATTTGTAAGTGGGCATCCCAAAGTGTTCCAACCTTAAGAACAGCTATTTCCACACTGTTTTTGCACACTGTCAGGATTATGCCCTTTAGCTCCCCTAGTCTACCTTATTTCTTCTTTACTTCATAAATTGGGCCTTATACCACATCAGCCTGTTTATTAGCTGTTAAGTTAAATTCTACCTTATTTCATATACAACCAACATATCATTTGAACAATTTCTTTTGTCATTTCTTTGCCTATTCATTTACATTCTACTTTTATCTGTTTGGTATATAATGACATATAATTGGGCTGTGTGTTTTAATCAACTTGATAGCATCTGATTTTAAGAGAATTCAGCCCATTAGCATTCACTATGTGACAAATAACAATCTTTGATTTACCTTCTTTTAAATATAAATTATATTATTTATTTTTGAATAGGTAATATATTCACTTGATTCCAAAGTCAATGGTACCAGCCTGACCTCTGGCTATAATCTCTGAGGGCAAGCAGTGCTATTAGTTTCTTGTTTGTCTTACCAAAGATATGTTATGAACATATAAGAAAATACTTCTCAAGTACATTTACTCTGTAAGTAAAACATACAGAGAAGTACACAATTAGTGCAAAGCTAGATAGTTTTCCCAAAGTGAACACACCTGTTACCAGAAACCAGATCAAGAAAAGGAATTCTACCAAAACTCCAGAACTGACTTTTGTCTCCTCCTAGATAATGCCCCAGTCACTCCTCCACATCAGATTTCTGACACCAAGGATTAATTTCATCTTAGCTATTCTTAGATCTCTGCATTTCCACATAAATTTTCCAATCAGCTTACTAGTTTATACTGAACAATCATGTGGACTTTATATGTAAATAGAATCTTACAGCGTATACTTTTATGTCTGGCTTCTTTCTCTTAGCATTGTATTTGTGAAATTCATCCATCTTATTGCATACAGTTGCACTCCACTCATTTTCACTGCTGCACAGTCATGTGCCAAATAACAGACTGAACATACAATGGTGGTCCCATAAGATTATAATGGAGCTTAAAAATTCCTATTGCTTAGTGTCATCTTAATATCAGAGCACAATGTATTACTCGTGGTCTGTGGTGATGCTGATGTAAACAAACCTACTGTGCTGCCAGTTGTATAAAAGTATATTATATACAATTATGTATAGTGCGTAATACTTGATAATGATAATAAACTACTATGGTAATGCTTTATGTATTTACTGTATTATACTTTTATTCAGAGTATACTTTTTATTTATAAAGTTTGCTGTAAGAGTATGCTGTTACACCAGCAACAACCTCATACATTTCATTTATAGCATATCTTGAGTGCACCATTTTCTCTTGTGCTTGATTTAATCTCATGTTGTTTTATAAACTTAGTGTAGCCTAAGTGTACAAGGTTTATAAAGTCTACAGTAATGTCCCAGGCCTTCACATTTACTCAGCACTCAATGACTCACCCAGAGCAATTTTCAGTCCTGCAAACTCTTTTCATGGTAAGTGCCCTATTCAGCTATATCATTTTTTGTCTTTTACACTGTACTTTTACTGTATATTTTCTATTTTTAGATGCATACAAACCACTGTGTTACAACTACCTATAGTATTCAGTACAGCAACATGTTGTACAGGTTTGTAGCCTACAGAGCAATAGGCTATAACATATAGCCTAGGTGTTTAGGCAATACTATCCAGGTTTGTGTAACTATACTTATAATATTCATACAATGATGCATTTCTCAGGATATATCCCCACTGTTAAGTGGTGCTTGATTATATTCCGACATATAAATATACCAGTTTATTTGTCCATTCCACTGTTGATGGCATTTGGGTTATTTCTAATACTTGCTATTAGGAGTAGTACTGCTATGTTCTGCATATGTCTTCTGGTGAATACATGTTTTCAATTCTCTGGGGTAAAAACTTAAGAGTAGAATTGTTGGGTCCTGGTTTCTGCAGTGTCCAATATTAGTAGATAGCATCAGTTTTCATAAGTAGTTGTACCCATTTTTTAGCCTATGTGTAGTGGGACATTTATAAATTTTTTACACTCTCATCTATGTTTAATATTATTCCCATTTTTAATTTTAAACATCTGGTGGGTATATACTGGTATTGCATTACTATTTAAATATGGATTTCCTTGAATAGTAATAAAGTGAGCAACCATTTCATATTTATTGACCAATTCACACTTTCTTTGTTTAGGTTAGCTATTGAGTTCAGTTTTTTTCTGACTTATCTATACAAGGTTTTTAAATAATATATTTTAGATAACAGTCCTTTGTTGGATATATGTTATTATAAATAACTTTCCCACTCTGAGTTGCCTTTTCACTGTCTTATTGGTGGTCTTTTCATGAACAGAAGCTCTTAATTTTAATGTAGTACTACTTATCAACATTTTTCCTATATAGATGGTGCTTTTGCTTCCTGTTTAAGAAAATCTTTGTCTAGGCCTTCAGAGAGGATTCAAGATGGCATGGAAGGTAAAGGCTACGCACGCCTCTTCTAGCGACCACAATAAAAATTATAACAAAACTACAGAGCAATCAGTACATGGAGTTGCCATAGTTCTGACTGAACAGAAGCTCTACAAATAGTTCCCCTCAAATAACAGGTCACCTCAAAACGGCAGGAGGGGCAGAAACACGAAACGGCCTGGTCCCACAACTGCATATGGTCATTGAGAATCGGGAGGGCTATCATGGCTGCAGAGCCACCTCCTCTACCTGAGGAGCAAGGCATCCTGTCCTCACACTGGGCTCCCCAGCATAAGGTTCCAGTGCTGGGAAGAGAAGTCCCCACAGCCTGTTTGTGAAAACCAAGGGAGGCTGCAGCTGAGTGAGATGGAAGGCTGTGGGAAGTGGAGGCCTTCTTTTTAAAGGGCCCACGCCCGGTCTTGCTCTAAGCTCCAGTGCTGGGGCGGCTGCTCGAAGCGTGCCAGGGACATAGGGGAGGCACTGAGCTGTCGGGCTTCAGGGCAAGGGCTGGAGGGGTGGCTTGCTCCTTGACAAAGGTGCAGGAAAAAGCCACTGTTCCTTTGTTGAGCCCTCCCCCATAGGCCTGCAGATGCAGGTGCCATCAAATCTGGATAACACAGGTCGCTCCGCCTGGGGGTATTCCCTGAGACTCTGCCTCTCCCAACTTGTGGGTCCACTCAAGCCGCTTCCAATGATTTATTCCACACAAACAGGCTGTCTTGGCTCCTGCTGGGAACTTTCACAAAATCTGTCAAAGGCTCACAAAACCTAAAAAAGCAGCATCTGGCCTTGGCATGCCCTGGATTTCTTGCTGAGCAGCTCCAAGCCCCATATCAGGGGCAGCTGGTCTCTGTTTCTGACTTGGCCCCTCGAGGCACCTATAAGCCCAGCATGGGTGGCAGTCATATGTGGATTGCTTGGTGACTCTTACCAGGTGGTCCGAGGTGCACAAGCTGCCACTGAACTTGGCCTGCAGCTGGACCCCTCCCAGGTCTGTGCAAAGGGGCCCCGCAGCACATCTACCACATAAAGCCACTCTACTGAGACCGGGAGACTTAGAAGCCCTACTTAATACATAGAAATAGACACAGGGAGGCAGCCTAAATGGAAGACAAAGAAGCATGTCCCACTTGAAAGAACGGAACAAAGCTCTAGAAAAAGAAGTCACCAGAATGACAAACAATATACCAGATGCAGAATTCAAAACAGTAATTATAAGGATGCTGAAGGAACTTATGAGAAGAGTAAGATGAACTTAGTGAACTTTAACAAAGAGATAGAAAATATAAAAATGGAGATGGAAAACATAATAGGGAGCCAGTCAGAAAAGAAGAATACAACATCTGAGATGAAGAGTACATTAGAGGGAATCAAAAGAGTGGATGAAATGGAGGATCGAATCAGTGACATAGAGGATGGGGTAGCAGAGGACACCCAATCAGAACAGCAACAAGAAAAAATAAAAAAAAAGAAGGTGGTTTAAGAAACCTCTGGGATGTCAAGCATAACAACATTCACATCATAGGGGTAGGAGAAGAGAGAGAGAGCAAGGATTTGAAAACCTATTTGAAGAAATAATGATGGAAAACTTCCCTAACCTGGTGAAGGAAATAGACATACAATCCCAGGAAGTTCAGAGTCCCAAACAAGATGAATCCAAAGAGGCCCACACCAAGATACATCACATTAAAATGCCAAAGGTTAAATTAAAAAGAGAGAATATTAAAAGCGGTGAGAAAAGCAATTAGTTGCACACAAAGAAGTGGCCATAAAACTGTCAGAAGATTTCTCAACAGAAACTACAGGCCAGAAGGGCTTGGCACAAAATGTTCAAAGTGATGAAAACCCGGGACCTACAACCAAGATATTATTCAGCAAAATTATCATTTAGAATTGAAGGACAGATAAAGAGCTTCCCATACAAGAAAAAGCTAAAGGAGTCCATCATCACTAAGCCAGTATTAAAGGAAATGTCAGAGAGACTTCTTTAAGAAGAAAAAAATATGTATTAAAAGTCTAAATAAAGAATGGCAATAACTACATATCTATCAAGGAGTAATTCAAATGAAAAAGAATTAAATGCTCCAATCAAAAGATAGAGTGGCTGAATGGAAAAAAAAAAACAAGACTCTTAAATATGTTGTGTACAAAAGACTCACTTCAGATTAAAAGACATACACAGACTAAATGGAATGGAATGGAAAAAGATATTTCATAATGGACCTAGAGGTTAGTGTGCTGAGTGGAGTAAGTCAGACAGAGGAAGACAAATGCCATGATTGCACCTGTGTGAGGAATCTAAAGAACAAAATAAATGAACAAAAAAACCAAACAAACTCATAGGTACAGAGAACATTTTGAGGATTACCAGGTGGCAGGAGGGTTGGGTGGGGGGTCGGTGAAAAATGGGGAAGGGATTAAGAAATACAAATTTGTAGCTACAAGACAGTCATGGAGACAGAAAGTATAGCATAAGGAATATAACCAATAATATAATAACTATATATATAGTATCAGAAGGGCACTAGATTTATTGAGGTGATCACTTTGTGAGTTATATAGATGCCTAGTCACTATGTTGTACACTTGAAACTAATATAGCATTGTATGCCAATTATAATTGAAAGATAAAAAATTATTATTAAATAAAAGAAAATCTTTGTCTATTCCAAGGGTGTAGATATTCTGCTACATATTTTTTATTTTATTTTTATTATTATCATTTTTTTTAGGCGAGGCAACTCTTGGTTGACCTCACAGATTGCAAAGACCTTGTCAGTTTACGATCCCTTATTTTTTTAATTTTTTTACGCCTGCAGTACCTGGTCTTCCTAGGTGGTCTCCCATCCATGTACTAACCAGGCCCGACCCTGCTTAGCTTCCAAGATCAGACAGGATTGGGCTTGTTCAAGGTAGCATGGCCGTAGACTACATATTTATTTTAAAAATTCAGTTTTACCTTTCTCATTTAGACCTACCATCTTTCTGGAACTGACGTCCACATTTGGTGTGAGGTATGGTCAAAATTGTTTCTTTTCATGTGGAAATTCAATCGACCCAGTGTCATTTATTAAAATGACCACACTTTTAAAGACTGCACTGTTATCAGATGACTATAAACTACGGGTTTGGTTTCAGACTGTACTCTGTTCCATGGGACTATCTATCCTTATGACAATACTGCACTGTATGAATTAACACAGCTTTATATTGTCTCGATATCTGGTATATTATAAGTCCTCCAACTTTGTTCATTTTTTTCACAACAGCCATGGCTATTTTTGAACTTTGCAAAACCATATGATTTTATAATCAGCTTCACAACTTCCACACTAAAACAAAATAAATACAAAAATAAAAACTACTAAAATTTGCTGTGATTTTGATTGACCTAACATTGTAAACTCTTGTACTCTACGAACTTGGTATGTCTGTATTTATTTAGGTCTTTTATTTCTCTAGACATTTTGTAATTTTAGAGTGGATACCTTGTGCATGTTTTGTTGGATTTATTCCCTAAGCATTTGACATTTTTAAAAATCAGTAAATAATATTATTTTTTTAATTTCATTTATTTAACATTTTCTACATATTTTTTGGTGAGCTTATAAACATCTCTCTCTTTGCTATGTAGCTAGGAGTGAAATCATTGTCATATGGTATACAGTTTTCCAAAAGGACTGTACAAGTATATAAAGATTCTGGAACAGTTCTAGAGTCCTGGCAATTTTCTGTTTCCTGATCTAGACATTGGTTATATGGCTGTGTTCGGTTTTTAAAAATTTATAAAACTGTGCACTTAGAATTTTGTTCACATTATAGCTTTCAAAATTTCAAAACAAAAAGTCATGTTTTATATACCTTTGAAGAAGAATCAGGATCCTTTCCATTAAGAAGACTTAATACTTGATTAAGACATGAAGAAAAGTGCTCATACCTAGGTTTGAAATAAAAATATACATCAAATGACAATCAGGAAATTGAAACACTGAAAAAGATTTATGTATAAAATTAATACAAAATTTAAGTGTATTTTCTTTCATTTATTTATTTTGAGCTTCTAATATAGGACAGTCTTTATAAAGTTTATACTTAAACTTAAAACATATTCTACCACTATGATATACAATAAACTGCCTCTGTCATCTACTAAACAGTAAAAAACAGTAACTTATGTGGCACTAAATAAATCTTTGAAACTTTCTGTACCTTTAGGCTTTTTTTAGAGGTTGTAAAAATTCAGAGAAGATGAATATTCTAATTAGCCAGCTACTTATTAATAAAGCATCTACAATTGCCAGCCATTAAATTAGGCTCTGCAAATACAGAGGTCAGGAGCAGGTACTTTAAAAGGTACTAGAGGTACCACTCACATTATATTCTATGTGATTGGTGCATCCTGGATTTGGGAGAATAGTGCCCTGTCAGAGAACTCACAGTCTACAGATGGAGGCAGAAAGACAGAAAATAATAACATAATGTAACATACAACGCTATAATGAAGAAATGTATAGAATACTATGAAATAGAATGGGTATCAACCCCGGACTTGGTGGGACAGGCCTGATCAGTGTGGCTTCCTAGACTTGAGTCTTAAAGAATAAATAGGAGTCAGGCATATAAAGGGGAAAGAAAAAAAGAGAAAGCAATTCAGAGGACATAGCACATAGATACATGAAAGGGCATTTCTAGCAAGCTGGTGGTTCTATTTAGTGTCTGAAATGATTATACAAAATACATAGGAAAGAAAATGTGAAGAAATAAGGCTGAGAGGTTGCCAGGGACCACACTTTGGAGAATTTGGATATTCACTTTAAATGTAATGGAAGATGGCAGATTTTAAAAGGGACATATGGTTGAAGAAAAGTTGAAAGTTGAGCACATGTATAAGGTAAAGAGAGACACTCGAATGGTAGGCACTAGAGAAAGAGGGGAAACTGTTGAAGGTGATAGGATAGAGTGAGACAACACACATAATAATGGGATGTTTATGAGCGAAATAGGAGGACACTAATTAAGAATTGATATAAACCCAGGTAACTGTCAAGGAGAACAGATTTGAGGGAACTCCAATTAAATGGGATTGTTTTGGTTTTTTTTTTCCTTTGAAAAAAAGATAAAGTAGTCTTCTAATTGGAAAGTAGTAAATATCTGAAAGTAGTAAATATGTGAAAGAAAGATGACTCACTCATTCAAGACAAAGACTAAAAAATACACACATACCCTTGTTATACTTTTATATTTCAGGCCGGGAAAGCAAAAAGAATGGGAATAAAGCACATCAAAATATTCTGATTTAGCCTATTGTGAATTAGTAGAATTCAGGTTTATTAAATCTAAAAAAGGCAGTTTTATTTATCACAAACACATCTAGATTTAAAAAAAAAAAATCTTAAAATTTTTCAAAGAAAGCCATACCTGGTAAGATAATCAGCAATTTTAGGAATCTTGAGGAGATCCATGAAGAGATCAACTGAATACTTTCTGGTTAGTGTGCCATCACCATTTATGAGAATATTAAATATTAGTTGAAAAGTCTGATGAATGTTTCGAGCATGGAACAGCTTTAAAAAAATTAGGGAACATATATTATACAAAAAAAAATTTAAGTTGACACCATCCTAAAACTTAACAAAAAGCCTCAATGACTTTTAAAGTTTCAGAGAACATAAATTTCAGAATTATCTTCATAAATAATAACAAAAAATCATATTTACCTTTTCTCCAACCTCTTCATTTAATGTCAAACTGGATAATATTGAAAGTGCAAATACAACCACAGTTAAACTACTATGGGCCAAGAAGCTTATAAGAGTTCGATAAAAAGATTTCACATTATTCTGAGGAAGAAAAAAAATAAATTAGAATAAAAATTATAAGTTTTATTTTTTGGTTCAGAAAGTATATCTTGCACAGAGTAGGTAAACTTTTATTAAATATCATTATCAACTTCAAGAAGTAAAATGGTACTCTGATATACTGCTTATAGTAGTAGCACAGATAGGTACAATCTCAGTGAAGAGCAGCGTTTAGATACAGGATTATAAGCGAATGTTTACCTTTCTCAAACACTTCTATGGCTCAAAATAACCTCCATTTCCAAAGCAAGACCAGGTCAGAAAAATCCAGCACATGAACAAATGAGGTACTGTTTAATTTAAAATTAAACAGATAATACTGAATACTGCTCAGTATGGGGACTGTTTACAAAGTTACCTTAAAGAATCAATAAACTTTCTTGATTTAATATATTTCTGATGGTGGGTCAGTTAACTTCATTAGTGTGCCTTCACTTATCACAAGTACTGGTAACTGTGATATCTACTGGATATTTCCAGTAGAGTTGCCATTGATTTTGTGGAAATACAAGACTGAGGTAAACGGGATTGGCAATGATGTTTCTCTCTTCTATCACCACAAAATAATATTATCCAATACAAAAAATGGGATGCTATGGAAAAGAAAACCTTTTAGTATTCAACATTTGTACTAACCCTTAACTTATTGTCTTAGCTGGAATACTTCAAATTATTTATATGTTGATCTGATTCTTTGTTAACTTTTATAGGCCAGCTGGACGAATTCTTGTTATAATTTTTTAAAAGAAAAAGATGGATAAATTTTTCTTTAAGCATAGAATCCACCACAAAGCAAGAAATATTTTACGAACTTCTTACCAAAGTCTTTATGTATGTTTGAACAGAAAGATTGTGTCGACAAAAATTTGCCAATAATCCTAGACAAGGCATTGTTAACTCATCTTCAGAAGACTGACTGTTTTAAGAAAAATAAACAAAACAAAACATTAAGCTCATTCTAAATTACTGAGATTATATAGTAATTTACACATTTAAATTCCTTTTTGCATGAAAAAGAAAAATCTAGTTAACATATGAAGACAGCAAGCTTTGAATAGTATGGCCCACGTATTTCATGTGATCCTATTCAATTACAGCATTGAACTACGAAAATAATTTTCAAAGTGACCATATGCTATTCTCATCAGTATATTTTCATAGCAAAGATTAAAAATATAACTTTCAGTTTCAATTAGTTTTTCTCTTCAAGTAAAAACATTTCATAAATTTTTGCTATGAAAATTAAAGCTGCTTCACACCATTTAATCCTTAAAAATCATCAGAGTAAACAAGAATCCGTCTTACTTTAAAAAGTTGGGAAAAAAAATAAGGAAAATTGAACTATCACATAATTTTAGTTTAAAAATAAACCATTAGATTATTTGGTTACATGTTTGGTTGCGTACTCACATATGGTCTATCAGGAATGTAATTAATTCATCTATATTGGCACCAGAGTGAAAAATTTTGACGTTATATGTTAACCTCTGCAGAAGTTGAATGCACTGGGAATAAGAAAATAGTAATGAATATAAACACATAAAAACATATTGCGCGCTCACAAAAATGAACTCCTGTGAATGTTCTGAGCATGTCACCATTTTAAGAAGCATGGTTGAGAGCAAGAACATTTCCATTTCTTAAAATGGTTCTCTCTTTTTTTTTAAACACAAAGTAATGAGACTACTAAGAACCTTGGGGTTCATCTCCTGATTCACATGTCCCTATACATTCTATCTCAAACAGAGCATCTTGTCATCAACTTCATTCACCTAACCATCTTAAACTTATATGCAGGTTGAAACATATATATATTCCATCAATTGTAAGATATATATTTTTTTCACATTTTATCACCTTTAAAATTGCATGTCAGTTTAACTGGCGATGCTTTTCTTTCTTACGATTACATTTTAGGTTCAATAAAATATTATGGGTATAAGAGCTTTGAGTCTATGCTAAATAAGACCAAATCTATAGCTGAAATTTTGGAAGAATGTTTCTTCAACAGATTGAGACTAGATGCCAACTCAAATTACAATTTTAATATGAAAGCTTAAATCTCAAAATGCTGACATCTGTGTTTATAAGTTTGTCAAAGCAGTTACAATGTAGATTTGTTTTTCTTCAGTACAAGTTCTAAATTTGGAGAAACTTCCCTTCTCTAGAAACTTTTAAACAGTAGGACACGGATAATCAACCAGTTCTTAAATTTATTAACGGCAAGAACTGTACCTAATCATGCAGTATTATGCCAAATATGTACATTGTAAGTAAACAGTTTATAATAGATACTATACATTTTGACCTGAAAATAAGGAAAGAAGAACAAGTTTTAAGTGAAAAGTACTGCATGGGTGTCTATACCTGCAAAAACACTGAATCACTGTGGCAAGTGCTGCTCCGACAAACCACTCCTGCCAGCACATTATTCAGGTTATATGTATTCTGAAGACAGTCTCTGGTTTCATTGTCTACAGCTGTATATTAAAATAAAATGGCACAAAATATATCATTTTTACATATGGTCTTCAAAGATAAAAGATGAATGATTTTAAATTTATTTCCATATTAAATTTGCTATTATATAACAATATCAAACTATGATATGGCTATTTTATTTACAAATAACTTCCAATTCAGAAGTTTAATCAAAGAAATTGTATGAGCTAAAAAGAGAAGGGAGTGTGAGTTTTTACTTTTTTTTTTGCCAATAAACAAATGATTCTGTGTGGATTAATCTGAAGGAAAAACTTGCTTTTTTTATGTGTAGAAATTTTGCTGTTAAACGCTTATTTCAATTTTTCTGTAATCTAAAAGTGAAATCTATTAACTAAAAAGTAAGCAAAAATTTTAAAATCAAATATAAAGACCATCGCTTACAAATTTTCTAATATATTTAAATGTTGAAAATGACTGTCATTTTCATAGATACAGTTGGTGGATGTTAGAATTAGCACAGCCTTTTTGGAAAGCAATTTGTAACGTAATGACTATCAAATTGAACAATGACCTGAAAATTCTACTCGAAATTATTTGACAGAAATACACTATTATTTGAACAGAAATACATAATAATGCTCATTGCACTATTGATTCTAATAGCAAAAGTTAAAAAAAAAAAAAAGAAACATACACAAGTACCCACCACAGTAGAGTGGCTGAATAAATTATAGTACTCTACTATGTGGTATCAGGCAGCTATTAAAACGACATCAACCTGGAAAGATATCTAAGATATATCAAGTGAGAAAAGTGGTACTCTGCAACACCATTTTTGTTTAAAATAACCAAAATTATTTGTTAATTTATTTGATCTAAAATTATTTGTTACAGCATAGAAAAAGACCTGGAAAGACATGTATCAAACCATTAAGATATATCCCCAATATTATCCCCAGAAGTGGAAATGATGAAGGTTGGTGGTGATAAGACTGATTTTTACTCTCTACATCTACACTGTCTAACTTGGTATCCACTAAGCAACAGGTGGCTATATAAATTTAGATTAATTAAAGATTCAGCTTCTCAGTGTACTGCTCACACTTCAAATGCTCAATAGCCCTATGTGGCTAGTAGCTACTGCTATGGAACATTTTCACCACCAAGAAAGTTCTACTGGACATGCTGCTATAAATCTTTCTGGATCATAGGTTTTTGTGAATATACACATACTAATTTTATAATCACACAAATATCTCCCCTCCACCCACAAACACAGATCAAGAAAAAAAGTAATTAATGAAAATTTAAAAACTAAAGATAAGGTCGTAAAAAATAGAAAAAGCAACATCTGCATTTTTACCCTTAGCTCAGTTCGGCATAGCCTATCAAAAAAGGATGATTTTTTTGATCACTAGCTATAACTTTTGAGTGATGTATTTAATACTGGCATTATGTGCATGTACTCTTTTTTAAAATTCAAAAGCAGGTCAGCATTTCCCAAAGTGCATGCATTCTTATCTGTAGACCACTTAAGTTTGTATATGCTTCTGATTCTTTGTTCCAATAATCTTAAGAAAGGATGCATACAAGATCCTCTTTTCAAGAGATCCACAAAGAAAAATAATTTTGAAAGGTCCTGCAATGAAGAAATCTTCTGAATGTGAATCATTCTCCAAAAAATTCTATACCTAAACCTGCCCTTTAAAAATATTAAATTCATACATTTTCTAAAAAATGAAAAAGAGAAACTGAAATACATTACCTAGTTGAGATAACAAACTTATAATACTTAAGATCAGTGGCGCGCTTATATTTGGGTCTTCAAGTAGCTCGACAAGGCAACTCAAGCATTCACTTGGTAATATCTGATTTGATGTAAATAATCGTGTGAGCTTCTGTCCAGAAATCACCTACAAAATAGTAATTAAGATGTGTTAGTTAAAAATTGGCAGTTTTCATTCCTTTTCAATTTCGAATAAACTCAGTTCTTCCGAAGTGTCACTGCAGCTCTTTCTCAACTTAGAAAATTTATAATGCTGTTCCCTCTGTCTCAAGATTACCTATCCCTTTTCTTACTAGCTAATGTAATCATTCAGGTCTCAGTTTTAATTTGTTTCCTCCAGAAAGCTTTCTCTAATCCTCTTCTACCAACTAGGCTTCCCAACTAGGTTTGCCTATTACACTATCCTATAGTGCATTATACTATAGTGCATTACACTATCCTATAGTGCATTATACTTTTATTTTACAAACTGGTAAATTTTTGACAACCTAGCAATATTTATCCTCTCTACTATACTGAACATTCCATGAAAACACAGATTACAAATCAATACTCTATTACCAATATATTTATTGAATAAAAGAATTCCAGTACATTCATTCCACCTACTTTGAGAGAGGCAATGGAAGGTGAAAAGTAGCTAAATCTAAAGGCTTAATAGCTATGTGATTAAGTATGTGATTACTCCTGCTCCCTCCCCCAAACAGTAGCTGAGCCCAGAAGTTAGAGATTACAAAAAAGGAAGTTAAAAAAAAAATTTTTTTAAGTGGCCAGGTCAAGCATAGACAAATTTTATTTTTGGTTATTCCACGTTTTACTCCTCTCTTATAATCCTATAAATTATCCTCTCCCTTCCCCCTCAAAAAGGTAAAGCTGGAATTGAAGGCCCAAAACAGTTGTCAAACAGCCATGTATTTTCAAAATGCTTTTTGAATGTTATTCATTATTAAGCATATCTTTTCTATGCAAATGGAAAACAATTAGTTACTTTAGAATTAAATGTTCAAAACATTTTATTTTTAGAAGATTAACTCTAAGTAGGCTGTTTTAGCATCCCTCTAAACTTTCCTTTCAGTATTCCTTTTTTATTCCCTTACCTACATGTCAGTTTTTCTAAAGCTTTGCTGATAAGAGAGCTTCAGAATATCTTTTCCCAAGGATTATGTGTTTTAACATTGAAGGAAAAGTCTATAACACTGAAAGATAGGTACAAAGGTGAAATTAGATACTGATAGTAATTATTTTGTGGTAAGGAACCTTCTGAATATTGTGCTTTTGCCTATTTATAAAACTAGGCTTCTAGAAGATGAAGACATTTTCTGCTTTAAATCATTTGCCTTGGAACTGGACCTGTATTTCAATAACGTAAGTACTCTAACATGTAATAACTATTTATTACAGGTAAAATTTAAAAATTGCTTTACAAATTTTTTTTTACTCATACACATTGAATGTTTTATGCAAATAGAATTTATTTTAGTAATAACTAATATTAGCATTTATTCTGGCCTAGGCATTATTCTAAGTACATTATGTTATGTTAATTCTTTTCATCTTCATAATATCCTGCAAGGTAGGTGCTAACTATATTGCAGATGAGTACACTGAGGCACACACTAAGATATTACATAATTGAAATTCACTGTTCCTGAATCCATGCTCATAATCATTATATAAGATTTGTGCTATAAAAAAAAAAATCAACTTTGAGACCAGATCAGCTCTGTCAATAATAAAACAATTCAAAGCTTCTGCATGAGACTATTAAAAAATATAGCAGAAGTGCAGCACAATAGCAGAATGAATAATCTTTCACAAGATAACCATCTCTCTTTGTATTCTCAGATGTTGCTCTTAAAGGTTTGTCCAAATATATTCATTATTAATGTCACTACCAAAATAATTAAAATTTAAAATCTGAAAACGCCAAGGATTGGTGGTGATAAATGAGAGCAAATTTCATATATTGCTGGTAAAATGATGTAACTTGTGAAAAATTGCTTGGCAGTTTCAACTAAAACTGAACATAAACTGTAAGACCCATAATTCCGCCCCTAGGCATATTAGAGAAATGAGTACATAAATCCATAACAAAAGTTAAAAATATTTATAACATATTCAAATTCTACTCATAACTAGAAACAACCCGAATGCCCATCAAGAGAATATATATAAATTGTGATGTGTTTATACAATGGAGTTCTACACAATGATAAAAAAGAATTAAGTACTGGCACATACACAATATGAATGAATTTCAGGTTATACTGAATGAAAGAAGACATATACAAAAGTACGTATTATATAAGTCCACTTATCTGAACTTTATGAGAAAGGGCAATTGAAAAAACTTATAGGCTACTGAAGTTCTATATTATGATATAGGTGGTAGCTGTTTGAGTGTACACATGTTAAAAAAACCTACCAATCTCTTAAGATTAAAGCACGTTTTGCACTGTATCTATGTTATCTCTCTAAACAGATTTTTCAGTAAACACCTTTAAAGTTTGGAACACAGTATCAAGTGGTCAGTCTGTAAGGCTCAAATTTCTTTGAAGTCTTCAATTCAAGATAACTTGGTGCTCATATTTACAACATACCTGTTTTTTCTCAAAGAGAGATAATGTTTCAAATTAATATTTGAAATACTTAACTCCTTAAGCAATAAAACCGAGAGCACTGCTTATTCTGTGGCTTGTGGATGCATTAGCATACTATTCTAACCTAACTGAGAAGCAAAGCATTAGCATTTAACAGCTAACATTTTTGTCTTTATTAAGTTTGCAGAAATTTGTTGAGGTAATGAGGTAATGAGGAAAAAGAAAATGCACTTAGGAGATGGGCACCTGAAGTAATAAGAAAGAGCATGAAGTTTGAGAGAACAAAGACACATTTAATGTACTCGTTTCACCAAAAACTGATGTTTCTGTACCATTTGCAATAGTCTTCTCTTTGTAGTATTTTGCTAATATTTGGTAATTTAACCTTTTTCATGGGGTTAATACAACAAATAGAATGTATTTTAAAATTATGTTCAATTCTAAGTTAATAAAGCTGTGACAGAAAATCAAAATAAGCTTTGATTGAGATCAATTTTTTTTATTAAGCTGACGTCAATTAGTTGGAATTTAATGCATGACGAATGACAGCAGAATAAGAACAAAAAAATTATAAAACAGAATTAAGTACTATAGACACAACTCAGTGGGAATTAACAGAAAAAATGAAAGCAATTCAGTATTTTAGCGCTGAAAAAATGAAAGCAATTCAGTATTTTAGCGCTGAAAAACTGTGAGCAATATATTTTGGTAAGGAAAAAAGGTTATGATTACTAGTGAGATTGCTTCTTAATCCAGAGAGAGTTGAAATATTTTTCCAGTCCGAAGTCAACATGAGTTCAAGTAAAAGCAGTAAAAATAGGTTCAGGTTGTAAACTGCCTAAAGGACAAGGAATAAAACAAGTTTTAATCATCACTCCCCATCACCTTCATCGAGAATCGCCGTATATTGTCAAGGCTCTGTTACGATGGAAGAAAAAAAAAGCAAATGGAAAGATACAGCTCTGAGCTTTCTCTACCAACCCCAAATACAGCCTAAATTCTCCAATCTTTCGTCCACCCTTCCTCTTCCTAGGACTTTCAGGAGTCACTCGTCCCTCCCGCTGCAGCCAGCTGAACGCAGAGGGTACTAGAGGCGGTGTAAAAGAGGGTGGGAATTCAACTCGCCTTCTTTACCAAGATAGACAGACAGCTGAGGAAGGGAGGAACTGTCCTTTCTTTCATAGGCTGGGGCCTCTACCCGCGGCCGCACCCGTTAACTAAACATTATCTCAGGTAAGCCCATCTCGTCTTCCACTGCGGTGCCCCTCACCTCCAAGTGCCGCAAAAGCTGGGTACCGTTCGCCTCCGACTTGACGGCTTTATACTGATTGATGGTCAGGAGCAAGGACTTCAAACAGGCTGTGGCGTCCATGGGGACCCGCTAAAGACCCGCCAAGGGGTCAGGACCAACCTACCAAGTCAGGTCTCCAGCTTTCGCCGCGCTTTTTTTAATTTTCGACCCCACCCCCTAGCTTCCAGGAGTTTCCGGTTCCGGTCGCGCTCCAGAAGTCCCAAGGCACTCTGGGGGACTGCTCTAAACCACGGGGCGTGGGAGAAGAGAAGGATGGAAGGAAGCGGGCCACGGGCAGAGAGAGCGAGCCGCTTCATGATTCTGTGCAGTGGGTCGGGAGGTGTCCTTTCAAACCGCTTATCCGAAAAAAACGCGAGGTTTTAGCTTCGAGATCCCAGGAAGACAATCTCGCGAGAGATGCGATTGCGTCTCAACCTGTGAAGGGGCGGTTAGGCGTAGGGGGTCCTTGTTCATCAATGCGCTCTGTTTGATTCCTCCGCCTTCATGCTGGATGGCCAGTTTTTTCCTTTGCGCATCATCCTCCACCTGAGAATTGGTCGCTTTTCCCTAGTCTAGACACGGTGAGGAATTCTGAGGAGGAGAATCTTGAGCTGTAGATTTTGAGACAGCCTGGGAGGGGCCTCTTTTTAAAATCTCGTATGTCCGTCCTTTTTATCCAGGAATGTTTGTTTCTCAGAGTAAACCTATGATCTTTGGGATTCTGTTTCAAGTTAGTCATGCCCTTAACGAAAGTCGTCAAACTTATTTGAGAAAGCAACCTGCAGGTGACTACTGAGCCAGGTATTGCTCCGGGAGTGTTCTCGTTAGTGTCAGTTTCTGTAAGTGAAAGTGTCTTTTTATTTGGCATGATTGATTTATAAATCTCGATGTCTATGGAAATGGCGCTGTCGTTTGCTGCTTTTGATCAGAGATGATATTATGCATGTGTATATCATGGTTCCGGAGCTTTTTGCTTAATTTATGCTAATGTTGAGTAAAGCTTTAAAAACCAGTTCGGATAAAATTGTAGGAATAGGTTACATATCCTTTTACTTAAACCATTTGTCAGAAATCATATTTTGTCAATTTTGTCAAAGGAAATATTTGCTGGATGGCCAGTCACTACATTTCTAAGGCAGGATTTACTTTTATATTAAAATCAATTTAAAATATTAAATCTGAAAGCTTAAAATAATATGGCCATTTGAGATGCATGTAAAAATCATTGGGTAATTCATGTATTTATGCAGCCATTCATTCTGAAAGCAATTATTGAATGTAATATGGGCTAGACATCACCACTCAGGGAACAAAGATAATGAAATATCCCCTGCTTCGAATGAACTGTCTAATAAGAGAAATGGAGTTCGCCAAATAAATTAGAGGCACCATGGAGTACCTATGGAGTTCGCCAAATAAATTAGAGGCGCCATGAAATTATGGTGAAGCGGAGTCAGGCTGTCTGCTTACAAATCGTAGCTTTACCTTTTACTGTATGATCATAGACAGATTCTCACTGCTTCAGTCTGTTCATAAGGTAAAATCTGGCTAACAGTAACGCCTGTTGCATAAAGTCGATCATTCAATAAGTAATTAGAGCCTACAGTGGGCTAGGTACTAGGAATAAAAATCCTATAGTCAATAAAACAAAATTTTACCATTAACATTCTGGTAGGGAAAAGAAAAATAAATAATAAACACAAGTTAAAGAAAGTGAGGTGGAGGAAAAAAATAGAATTATTTCTCTAATGGTGGCTGAGAAGAAAGAAAATGGGAGGTCATGATAGAGAAAGCAGCCTTTGAGGAAATACTTCAAAGAGCCATGCACTCTAGAGGAAAAGATTTCTAGATAGAATAGTAAAGCAGAGGCCCTGAAATAGGAGCCTGACAGTGTATGTCAGGAACAGCAAGGACTCCACTATAGCTCTAGCAGAGTAGAAGAGATGAGGTCATGTTAGATGGTGCAGAGTTACCTAGCATACTTAGTGTTCTCAGAAATGTTAGTTACAGCTTAGTTCCTTGGCAAATAATGTGATAACAGTTTGGTAGTGTTAGACTTTTCATTAATAATGACAAGTGCATCATCATTATCTCCATCCCCATTTTGAGCTAAGGGAAAAGGGTTTAAACTGCTCACTGTAAGTGCTATCTTTCTCTGAAATCTTGCATTTTAACTTAAGCAGTCACACAAACTTTGCATCTTTTATATACAGTATTCATTTTAATATAAAGTATCTTTCTCAAAAAATCTTCACCAAAAATTGATGTTGTAAATTTAGTAGGATGTACCATGATGATATCTGTGAGAAGCTGACACATCTTTAGTCAGAGATGCTATCCTAATATTGGAAACGGAACCGTATTTTAAGCCCCAAAAAGGGGGAAAAGGAGGAGGAGCTGAAGTTGGGTCCAGATGAATGAAGGCCTTATTAGCCTTGAGCTTGGACTCCATCCAGAATTCAGTGGTGACCTCTGGTTTTAAACTGGGGCCTGATCTAGTTAGGTTGTGTTTTAGATTGATTATTGTGGCAGCTGGATGGACTATGATTTTGAGGAGGAAGTGGGAAGAATATTTAATTTGCTAGAGTCTTTCCAAAGGATAACTAGGATAATTAAAGTGAAGATAGCAAAGAGGTGATAAGTTTGTGAAATATCTATGAGATGAAATAGGCGAGACTTAGTGACTAATTTCAGATGTAAAGAGTGAGGAGAGGGATGAAACTAGAAGGGATTCCAAGTTTTTAGTCTGGTTGAGAAGATACTGGTACTGTTGAGTAGTTAATAGAAAGTATTCAGGTTATATTTCATGTTCAATGAAAGTTTATCATATAGTTTGGTACTATTCTCATTAAGTTTGTTCCCAGGTATTATATAATTTTTGTTACTGTGAGTTGGTCGTCTTTTTCTCCTATAAATTTTAAGTTGTCATTGCCACTATAAAGAACTGATTTTTGGTACATCTTTTATTCAACTTACTAAAATCTCTTATTCTAACGAGTTGTGCTTACTCTCGTAGACTTTCTAACTGTATATCATCTGCAAATAATAATTTCATCTCTTCCAATATTTGTTGTTTTACTTTATTTCATTATTGTAATCTCAAAAATATGGAATAATCATGGCAATACTGAATATCTTTGTCTTAATACTTAATTAAATGGGAACAACCAGTATTTTAACACAGTATAATTTGTGCTATTGATGTGTGATAAATATTCTTTCAAATGTTTAGGAGATTGCCCTTTATATCTGTTTTATTTAAATATTTGCCAAAATGTTTGCTAAAAAATTGTCAAATGTTTACATTTATATTTCTTATTTCCCCCTTTAAAATGTAATTCAGTCGATTATGTTGCTTTCATCCTTTGGGTAATAATAGCTAACACTTACTGAACATTTGCCATGTGCCAAGAACTGTACTAAGAACTTTACTATTTAATCTTCATAACAATATCATGCTTTAGGTACTATTATATTTTCTGTTTTACAGATAAAAAAACTAAGATGTGTAATAATTTGCCATCATCACACAGGTGTAGTAGTAATACACCTATTTGCTATGCTGCAAATACTTTATATTCATAAGAATTTAAAATATTTTTTTCTTTATTGTCTTTTGGAATTTTAGTTATATGTTACTTTGAAAAATGAATCGGAAGTTTTTCATCTTTTTTTCTGTGCTATAGAATAATGAGATCACGTAGGAATCATCTGATCATATTTGTATTTGTAATAGAGTTATAGATCTGATAATTTTTTTCTATCTTCTTGAGTTAATTTTAGAAATACTAGAATTTTGTGACCTACCAACCATTTCTCTAGATTTAAAGAATTATTGATGTAAAGCTGCATCAATATTCCAATAATCATCTTAATCTCTTCTTTGTAGTTTTTAATTTACTTTTCATTCTAACATTTTTTTCCCCTTACTATTGGGCTTTCCAGCTGTTTATTTTATTCAGCTTTTCAACAACCAACTTTTATTTTTTTAATCACTAATTTTACTTTTATCTATATTAATTCCATCCATATACGTACCCTTTTTCTTTATTTGTTCTTTCCATAGTTTTTTAAAAGTTGAAGGCTTAGTATATTTCCATACTATATTTTTTTCTAACATTTATTTTGTGTCAAAAATTTTAAAAAGACAGAAGCTAAAGTGAGAATCTGCATTTTATCAGTCAGGTAAATATATTTTTAAATGCTAATGTTTATTCAATCATCAAATATTTACCAAGTACTAGATCTTTTTCTGAGAGCTTAGAGTGTGTTGGAGAAATAGATAAACCAGGATAAGTGCTATTAAGAGAAATAGAATATGCTATAGGAAAACATGATTTTGAGAGGGTGCAGAATATTAAGTATCCAATTCCTTCATTCTTCAAAGATTGGCATAAAATCCCTGTTCTGTAAATTTTTGTTGCTCTCTGTTCTCTGTATTTGGCTTAGGTACTTCCTCTAATTTATAGTTTGGGTAACATGTAAGAGAGTTAAACAGAAGTTGCTTAGGGTCTTACAATCTTAGTTTAGGGCTGTCTAGCACCTTTATTTTTTTCTGGACAAACTTTAAAAATATCTTCAGTACTGAATAATAAAATGGAAATTTTTAATGTATCATGACCAGGTTTAAGTCATATTAGACGAGTCAGACTAAATGAAGATATGAATTATATTTTTAAGAGAAGTGCAGAATTTATAGAATTTATAAATGTTGTCATATGGGAATTATACCAGAGATATTAACACAGGGCTAATTGTTCACTCGTTCACTATATATTTAATGAGTGTTTGAATGGTAGGTACTTTTCTAGGTTCTGGGGATATAGCAGTGAATCAAATAGACAAGTAAAGCTTTTAATGGTGGACATAGACAATAAACAAGACATGTAAGTAAAATATATGAATGTTAGTAAGAAGTGCTATGGAAGAGAAGAAAAGGAAGAAGGGCTGGAAGTATCAGAGTCAGGGTGGATGTTACTATTTTAGATAGGGCGGAGTATGTAAAATCAGTATTTGCTATATAACAAATCACCTCAAAACTCAGTGGTTAAAATCATGAGCATTAATTTCTTGCTCACAGGTTTGCGGGTTAACTGCAGTTAGTCTGACCTAGGTCTGACTTGGCTGGGTGGCTCTGCTTCAGCTATTTTGTGGGGAGGGGGAAATATTTAGAACTGTTTCAGTTATGTTGAGATGTCAACTAGATATCCGGGAGATGTTGAATGGGCTGTTGAAGATAT